CCACAGAGGAATCCTCCAAAGGCTGAGTGTTTTGGCGCTTGGCTCGGACCATATTTGACACGAAGAACACACGAAGAATCAAAAGAACTTTCGAGGAATCAAAGAAGGAAATGGACCATGGAAGCGACGATGATGACCCGGGGTTGGACTGGCACGTGAAATCTCTTACGGGCAACGATTGCGACCGGGTAGGGAATTATTCCCTATCGCCAAGGTGGGTCCCTGCGAAGACCCACGGGTCCTAGAAGACGGAGGCCAAGCGAAGGGACATGGAGATCGAGATCAGAAAGTCCAGAGAATAAGTAGACAGACCATCGTAGAGCTCGTATTCTCCAGTCTGCAACGCCTAAAGAGGACCCAGAGGCAGAGGGGCAAGACACATAAAGGAACTCCACAACAAGGTCAGAAGGGGTATTAGACGATGGATTTCTTCTCCAAATACCCGGACAAGCCGAGTAGTTGATGAAAAAAGAGGGTTCGCGTCGACCGGGGGTAGTGTAAGCCCAGTGACACTGTGCAACGAGGCGTGTGCAAGCACAGAGGCCAAGTCGCGAGGTCCAAATATTAGAATAATCATGACGTTCTGCAATGCAGAACTACCAGCGATTAAACTAGCAAGAACAGATACTACACTTGATCTAAGCCAGAGGCAAAGAGAGCTGAAGAAGAAAGAAAAGAGGAAGAGGGCTCGTGCCCGAAGGCCTCGCTATATACCCCCAAGGGCGGTGGGTATTCGGGGGCAATACCCCTAAAGGCGGTACAGTGCGGCTCTGCGGATCGGGACGTAATCTGTACCTTGAAGCACGTATCTATAGCCGGCACGTGCTCCCGCCCCGCTCCCGCTTATATTCGTATTCGCGTATGTATACTCCGTAGCCCTAGAAACTACGTCTTACCAAGTGCACTCGCGCGCATATGGTGTGTTTGTCCCACAATAAACAATTTTCTTTGTCTAAAATATGACATCTAGGAAAGAGGCAGCACATAGGGATAACTTGAAACATCATAAAAGACGTCCTTCTGTGAAAGAGAGCTCTACAGGGGCGTTGAGATATATGCTTGATTGTTGATAAAGCCAAGTTGCTACACTACAGAGTTTGCCAATTGCAAACATGTTGAAAGGCATTTTCTCAGGAGAGGTCTTTTATGGGGAAGACATCGGAGTGGAAGGTGTAATGCAAGTTGATTCAAGACATTAAGCAAGCTGAAAGCTAGGAGGATAAGACTATAGAATCAAACAACTTTCTTCTCCAAGCACCCAGGCAAGCTGAATAATTGATGAAAAAAGGAGAGGGGTCGCATCAACCGGGGGTAGTGTAAGCCCAGTGACACAGTGCAACTAGACATATACAAGTACAGAGGCCAAGTCGCGAGATCCAAATATTATAAGCAATAGGAAGCAATCAGAGGGGGGTTCGCATCAACTGGGGGTAGTGTAAGCCCAGTGATACAGTGTAAGGAAGACCTGCAGAAACGTCAGTGGAAGTCGGAACTAGGAGGGGAAGGGGGATGAGGAGAAAAGAAAAAGAGAAGAAGATTTCTGGGGACAAGAGGCCTCTTATACCCTATGCACGCGGGTAAACGCCAGTGCGCGCGATGTAGTGGGTAAGAGAGGCACGCAGTGCTTTATGATGACATATAGGGTTTTGATAGCATACAAAGTTTTATGATTGAACTTCTACGAGCTTTCTTCTCCAAATACCCGGACAAGCCGAATAATTGATGAAAAAAAGAGGTCGCATCAACCGGGGGTAGTGTAAGCCCAGTGACACAGTGCAACTAGACATATACAAGTACAGAGGTCAAGTCGCGAGGTCCAAATATTATAAGCAATAGGAAGCAGTCAGAGGGAGTTCGTATCAACCGGGGGTAGTGTAAGCCCAGTGATACAGTGTAAGACCTGCAGAAACGTCAGTAGAAGTCGGAACTGGAAGGGGGAAGGGGGATGGAGAGGAAAGAAAAGAAGAAGAAGACTTCTGGGGACAAGAGGCCTCTTATACCCTGTGCGCGCGAGTGCACGCGGGTGCGGTTGGTAAGACGCAGTTTTTAGGACTACGGACTATATACACATGTGAATACGAATACGAGCGGGAGTCATTAACAGATGACAAATAGATTCTTCCCACATTCCTACCTGATTAGATGCCTGGCTTTATACACCGCTTTCCTTACCGTCTACTGGTTTCTATACCGCCCTTCTCGTCCAAACAGTAGGTACCTGAACTTTGTATGTAAATACCTAGCAAAATTAAGTCACTCTTGTCAGATCTTATTCTGGGACTCGCTTCAACTACTTTTGTCGCAGACTGCTTCGTGGACTGCTTTGAAGTTCGTGGACTGCTTCATAGACTTCTTCATAGACTGCCTCCTCGCTTGCCTCTTCAAGTGCCTCCTCGAGTGCCTTGTCGACAGCCTCATCGACTGCTTCATTTTCGACTGCTTCATTTTCGACTGCTCCAATATCAAGGTATCAAAACCTGTAGAGACTAGGCAGAATATCCGGTTATTTCCAATCAAAATGCATGTCTTTTTACTCAGAATTCAAACTACAAAATTAAGCCCGGCAGAATAAATTTGGCAAAATAAATTTATGCTTATTGTCTAAGGTAGAACAATACCGCAATCAGGCAGGAGCATGTCGAACCTCCCAGTCACAGTCGATATATATTCCTGTAATCTACATGACTCTCACATAATCTTATCCTATCAGCTCTGGGTTATCTTCCTAGTGACACCCGCATCTATTGGATGATTCGGCTCCACGATATACAAATCCTTTACTGAATGTACGAGAAAGAAAAGAATGTGTGTGTTACAATACTAGTCGTCCTCTAGTCTATCTTGCTGAGAATATGAGAATAGGATTATGCTTAGACATACATCGCAGTGTTTGTAGAATATAGCTTCAAGAATAAGGTATATTGAAAGTCATCTTAAAAGATCTCTTGGTAGGGGAGATCTGAGAGACGTCAAGGTGCCATGATGTAACATGAGTTGATTGAAGCTGGGCAATAGACACAGAATCTGACATCACAGACACAAAACAATTGGAGTTTGACATCGCACCGCACAAATTGCAGACCTTTATTGTTATTCAACCTCGGCTATTAGGGCGAATGAAGTCGCCGGTGACAATGACATTACATATCTACAGATGTAAAGGAATAATGTCTGCTAGAAAATGCAGTGCAAGATCTCTGATATTAGAACTATTGAATCAAAGGAAATAATATGTGATGTTGGGTACAAGATATAGGAACTCATGGGAGTCAAGATCATGGCGACCAGCGGACATTGCCTGGTCCTGCTTATCCCAGCCAGTCCTTGGCAAAAATCCCAATTTGAATATAGGCTGTTTGCACTGGCGGTGGTCCCGACGGTATAGGGCGTAGTACAAGGCCTAGCTTCTTTTCAATATTGGTCTTTCAAGTGGAGGGGAGGGGGGTAGGAGTTATGGAACTTCTCGAGACCGGGACTGCAAGTATGAAGGCTCTTGTAAAGACTCTGGGAAGCGACGTTAGCGTCAGGCGAGATATTGAGGTGAGGTTTATGAGATGCATGAATTGTACTGCGAGTGCACGACAGGTGCTGAGAGATACATGTCCACTCGGAAGCTGTCAGGTTTTCGGAAGTTGTGGTTGCTGGTAAGGAGCTCGAAAGGGTGAGGGTCACGAGTGTTGAAAGCGCACATGAGTATCGACCCCGAAGAGAAGGTGTTTTCGCAAGTAGGGGCTAAGACGAGTGATTTCTGGGAGCTTTAGTTTGGCAAAGCTGCTAGAAGAAGACATTGTGCGGTGTTTGGAGGGAGCTGACTGCGCGAGTAGCAGATTGCTGGGGCGATAGTGCAAGGAAGTGTAGTGGGATATGTATCGAAAGAGGGGTACCGACCGTGTCGAGATTAAATTAATGACTGTGTGGAATTCGTCGATAGAGAGGCCGACTGTGTCGAGAAGCGGGTTGCTCACGGTATGGAGTGCGTCGAAGGAGAGAGCGGGAAACTGTTCGCAAGTAAGGACTTGCACAGGCAGGTGATACAGCTAGCTGGCATATTGTGAGAAAAAGGTATCTGTAAGTCGATGATAGGCGCGTTGATACGAGAGGCATATAGGGTTTCATGATAGAACTTCTACAGCTTTCTTCTCCAAATACCCGGACAAGCCGAATGATTAATAAAAAAAAGAGGGTTCGCGTCGACCGGGGGTAGTGTAAGCCCAGTGACATAGTGCAACGAGGCGTATGTAAGCACAGAGGCCAAGTCGCGAGGTCTAAATATTAGAATAATCATGACATTCTGCAATACAGAACATTCAGCGATTAAACTGAATAGAACAGATACTACACATGATCTAAGCCAGAGGCAAAGAGAGCTGAAGAAGAAAGAAAAGAAAAAGAAGTTCCGGGGGCAGGGCCACCTTCTTATACCTCCCCTGAGGGCGGTGGGTACCTACCCGCAAGGCGGTGCGGCTCTCCGGGGCGGGCCGAATACCGGGTACTGCACGTGGTGTAGCACGTGCCACAGTGGGAGATTCATGCATGTACGTATATATGTACACCTGGGCATACATTTCACTACCGCAATGAAACAAAAAGAATCCTTTAAGAACAAAAGGTCCATTCTATAGGCGAAAGCCGTTAATTGGTCCTCTAGGAAATTTTCTGAACGGCTGTCCTCACATTCTCACCACCGTTGACGGACCCCGAACTCTTAGCTGTACCTGTTGATAATTTTAGCAATGCTCCCAGGCGCCATATTAACAAGCGAACTTAGCGGCGAGTTGCACCTCTAGTCGTTACACCGCTCCCTACTCGCGCTTTCCAGATTTTCATAAACGGGGGCTACCATAACATTCTTCGGCCCCTTTTTACCCCGCTCCGCGCCAAGTTATGTTTCTTATTTCCAACACAAGACATTCTCTTGTCATCTTTATAACTGGTTTGAATCCCCAGACCTGCGTTGTCCTATAATCTTTTACTCCCAATCAGTCTTTCATTCTAAAAGAATGTCCCGTCCCGAAGACTCGCAACAAGCCTCAGTGATCGCTTCTTGCGCAAACCCGTTGCCTGGCAATGTTGTTAGCCAATACGGCAAACGAATTATCAGAATCTCTGATCATCAAGTCGTTAAATGCGGCCCAGATGTGACAAGAGAAGAATTTGAAAATCAAAGGATAGCGTATGAACTTGTGGACAGCCGCATAGCTCGTATCCCACGTGTGTATGATTTTTTTACTGACGAGCAAGGCTGGGGTTATATTGTGATGGAATTTATAGAAGGAAAGGTCATTGATCCTTTGGACGACGTTAGCGCTATACAGAGGGTTGCCAGCGTGCTTGGCCATTTCGCAACTTTGCGGTATAATATCCCTGGATCACTTTATGGAGGCGCTTGTCGTGGCCTTCTATTCCCTGAAACAGAAGACCTGGTTTTCGACAGTCTTAGCCGGATGGAGGAGTGGTTCAATAGCCGGCTTTTCGCGCACAACCCGAACTTAGATTTACAGGGCTGTGATCTCGTGCTCTGTCATCTGGATATTGCACCTCGAAACATCATATGGCAGGAAGATGGCTCCCTGTGCCTTATTGATTGGGTATCTGCGGGCTTCTATCCAAGATTGTTTGAGTTCTGCATGCAGTGGATATTTGATGGAAAAGATGGAAGCTTCAATTCCCTTCTCTTGGAGTCTGTGGATCCTTTATCAGATCATGAAATGGCGCAGAAAGAGGCTATTCTGTGTGCGTGGAGGAACATCCAAAAGTATCCATTGTAAGTCTTAGGGAGCTCCAGGTATTCCTCGGTTAATGCTCACCTGCTTTCAGCCGAAACAAAACGTCAAAATCACCCCAAAGATTATCGAGACATTCGACGGATTTTCTCCCCATACCCGCTCATCCTATGCCAGATTACCCGCCTGAATGGTATGAAAAGGCTGGGTGTGAATGCTCTATACCGCCGAGCCCCACATGTCCCAGAAGGAGATCAAACTAGTACTCAGATACGGAATTGCAAATTGCCGGTTCGCATTGCTCGACTTCGCTGAACTTTCGCCGAATTCATAATTCGGATTCCGCACAAATAGCACAAGCTCTTGAGAGGATGTTAATTGTCCAAGTATGTGCAATTTACTAGAAACTAACGGGGAAACAATAGAGCCTTGGAAAAGCAGGTTCGCCGAATATATGCTGACAAATGATAATATGGTTTCCCCGGTCATGTGATCTGGGTATAAAATTGATGGCATAATATATCCGAAATTGTGCAATCTGATTTGCGGGGACGAACTGTGGGGCCAAGAGATTGGCCGTTTTAAGCTTTTCAATCCCCTTGCTAGGCTCGATCCCTTTTACATCGCACAACCATGTCGGCCTCAACGCCTGAAGAGCCTCAGTCAAATCCTCGTTTCTTGTTCCACCAACCACGCGCCCTACAATGGTTCGAGGACGGGAAGTTGATGCGCCGTCAGGATGGTGAACGACAAGCCGGGCGATTCGAGCTATTCCTCGATCTGCTCTATGTCGCGATCCTGTCAAACTTCGCCGATACCCTCGCTGAAGACATATCAGGTGCCAAGCTGGTCAAATATATTGTGAGTTGGCCGCCCTTCTACTATCACCTCCACTATCGCCTCCACTATCTCATCCACTTTCAGACGCGATAAGCTAACATGCTCACAGCTGATCCTGGCGCCATCATGGAACGTTTGGAGCGATCTGCGCGAGTTGATGAACGCCTTCTACACCGACGATCTCCTACAGCGCATCCTGATTCTGTGGGTTATGGCCGTACTGGTCGTATACGGCAACAACGCCCCACTCGTCGACGAGGAGATCGGTGCCATGCGCTCCGCCGTGGGATCCTACATGGTCGCGCGAATCTCATGCAACCTCGCCCACGTATTCTACTCCTTCGCCAGCTACCACCACCGTCCGCAGCAGCGCCTCTGGGTTGTCCTTTCCAGTCTGTCACTATGCATTTACATCCCACTATACTTCGAGTCAGTCTCGATCCGCGGCAAGATCGCGGCTGCTGCTGTCGCTATCTCGGTTGAAACCATGGTTTGGATTCTGTGCTACTCGCCGGCTGGTAAGAAACTTCTTCGCGTCAGGTGGTCGACGGCAGTAGATATCGCTCACGAAATTGATCGGTTCTCTGCATTCTACATCATTGCGCTGGGCGAGTTTCTCTATTTGATTATTGTTGGCTCCTATGCTGCAGTTGGACTCAATGAACGGCTTCTGCGAGCTGTTTGGACATTGGTTATTGCATTCTGTTTGAATTGGCTGTATGCTCACGCCGATGGCTCATTACATACCACTCACCCCATGCGGCACTCGGTTTATACTGCTTTTTCCTGGGCCCTGATTCATCTACCACTTATTGCCAGTCTGCTAGCTGGCGGACATGTTGCAGCACAGTCAGTCGCCGAGAAAGAGTTCGAAGCTCCGCAGCGATGGCTCCTTTGCGGCGGTCTGGGTGCAGGCATGATCTTTTTGTATGTGTTTGCTCTGCTGCACAAGTCCAATGATGAATCGGGGACTTTGATCTTGGACAAGGTGAGTCAACGCCCCTCCGTTTACTACTTTCATTCCCACTATACCAGTCACTAATGTTTGTCCTAGCCTTTCCGACTCATCATGCGCCCTGCAGTCGGCATCATCACGATCCTTTTGCCCCTGGCTGACCACCTGAATGCAACTGACGTGTTGTCAATTATCATGGCCTTGTTTGTATTTACTCTGATTTGGGAGACTGTCACTTCGCTCAAGAAGGGTGCCTGTTTCTGGGAGACCTGGACAGAGACGGACTACCCCGAGGACAAACCCGAAGTTCATAATGCCAAGAATGGGGGGACAGTTTGAAGTCTCGTGTGTTGCGAGCTTTGGTCCGTCCATTCGCAGTCTTACCATGGGCGAAACAATGCCCTAAGTCCCGGTCGTCTCTATATTGGCAACCGGACTGTTAATGTCTACTAGGATATATGTATATGCTGTTATGTTACGGATGTCTATATCGGCACTACACTTTTTACGATAACTACTGTACTTACTATTCAAGAAATATGTGTGCAGAAACAGATAATTAAGCTTTAATTTATTGTGGTTGGTAAAGGATTCGAGGGTGGTGAGGGATGCTATGCTATAATCACTGTCCTTAAGGGTGGAAATTAGAGAATATCAAAGCAACGGAATTCTTTCAGGGTAATCTCATGCCGAGAATTATAAATGTCAATATAGCACGGCGCCCAGTAGTGTATATAAAAGTAAGACAAGCCGCAACTTGCACCATCGCAGTAATCCAGCACCATACATACCATCACGCAAAAGAAATCCTAGAGATGCGTAGGAAAAAAAAAACAAAAGTCCCGCCACTTGACCAGCATTTCTCAATGATTTAAATTAATTTAATGATATCCTTGAACTCATCAAGCAGATCCGTTCCGTCGTCAAATGATGCAGTCAAATCTATCCCACCGCCGATCATAGGAGAAACAGGAGAAACAGGAGACGCAGGATGCTCGGGGTTCAGTGGTTGTATATCGTTCAAGTAGTTTGAAGTGTGGAACTGCAAAGCCGAAACGAAGGGACTTTGCTTCACTCGTTTTTTGTGGTCTTCCGTTCGAGTTTTGTCTTGACTCGCCTTCCGTTTTAGCTCGGGGGCTTGGTCTGCTTTTGTCGAGAGTGGAAGTGTGTTCAGCTTGACATAAGACTCCTTGTTTTTTGTCGTCATTGGCAATCTTGTTGAGTCTGGAGGTGTGTCGTCTAGAATCTCGATTATCTCGTGTTGTTTGGGGGTTGATGGCTTGGTTTGGTCTTTTTGAGGGACAGCGGACCGTGAAGCATAGGGCAAAGGCTCGAGGTCTGTATGCTTCGTTTCAATGACTGCAACATCTGTGATGTTGTTCTTTGCCTGGTCATTCACCACCGGAGAAACTGATGTTCTAAGCCCTGGTCCGCTATTCACGAGAAGTCGTGATGGAGACGGTAAATCGTCGAAGTTATCGTCACCATAGTCACCCGAGAGGAGATTCATTGGACTCATTTCCCAATCCCTCTTATATGAAGGAATATTCTTGTCCCTCTCCGAAAGGACAGACTTCTCTCGACTTGGATTCTTCTTTGCAGCCTGCGACATCGGCATTTTCTTCGCCTTTGAAACATGGTCGTCATTCTTAAACCCCGTGACGCGTTGTTTGGCCACTTTGTTTCTCGAAATCGAGTTACTGGTTGGGGTTGCCTTTGTGATACTTGCAGAAATAGTCATTTGATTGAGACCAGCTTCCTTTTGGGCCGCGGGAACGGCCCGCTTCGGTGCCTTCGGAGGCTTCGGGGGCTTTTCCAATCCCTCGCGACAACAGAAATGTTTGCAGCTGAAATTGTTAGCTTAATAATAAAGAAAGTAAATATTTCCAAACCTTGTTTTGTCTTTGCATTTGTGGTTGCAAGCCCATTTGCCATTCGCAAGTCTGACTGGCTCGAACTCAGCCTCTGGCTCGTCCATATCCACTGCCCAGTCTTCTTCTCGGGGATTTGAGACCTTCGACATTCTCTTAGCTGGGCTCGGTGGAGTTGAATCGATTGAGAACCAATCTATATCATCAAACTGTTGAAGCCGTGGCTTTGTGGATTCCTTAGCTTTGCCACGGCGTTCATCCCCAACGAGGAAATCATCGAGCTGGAGGTCATCGCCATCAAAATCGTCCACATCCCATCGGGACTTGCTCTTGACACTAGTTATATCTCGTCCGTGGGGATGAGTCGTGGTCTTCGGTTTCTCTGCGTCTTTAGGATTCAAATTCCCCTTGAATTGACGCGAGGTTTCAGTATTTTGGGCCTTGGCATTCTTATCCCGTATAGCAGCAGAAAGGTGAGCTGGCAGGTTAGGTTTGAGCTCAGCTTGTCTCCACGTCCCCGCTGGATAATTGTCAGTACGAATAGCTGTTGTTCACGTTCAAAAGTCTTACCGATCTCATCGCACATAACATGGCAGACAATGACATGCTCCGGACTCGTCAATTCAGCGGTGAGTTCAATTTCCAATTTTTCTTGGAGCTTATTCGCACTGGAAGCATATCAGCGTTTGCCTATAACGAGATGACTGGATGAACATCTCACCTTGTGCGTCTGAAATCGATCATATGGCCATCGGACCTCTCTATCATGCAACACACGTAAACCGGACGACGTTGAAAGAACGTCGGAATCTTGTCATTCATGAACGCGACTTCAACCTTGAATCGGACATTGACACAATTAATTTTCACATCCTATATCCCAGGTTAGCAAAATGACATTTGTCATCATAATAGGTTGCAAACCTTTCCAAGCATCTTCACAGAAACCCTCAGTTTTGGAAACTCCTTCAATCTCGAGAGCAACTTAGATCCGAAAGGCGGATTCTTGCTAAGAACCATCTCAATCTGATGAGGCTCCGCACATTCCAGACCTTCAATACTGGTAATCCCAGCAGCAGCCAACTTCCGAACTGTAACAACACCCACTTGCTCGATCTGCTTCATTTGGAGAGGTGAGTGGTCCCAGACCTTTGCTCCGAGGCTCCGAGCGAGTTCCGAGGCATTGCGGGTTGTGATTGAGTCGCCGCGGGCGATTTGACAGTCGATTAGACAACGGATTAGTCGGTTGACATGCGCGAACACTAGACTTTTGTCTTGCTGGAAGGTGAATTTGTGTTTCTGTAATTGCTCGTTATCGGGGTACTCAATTGCCCCTAGCTCGGATTGAAGGAGTAGTGAGACTTTGTGGGCTGGGAGGGCTAGATCGACTTTGATGGGGAAACGAATGCCAGGATCACGGTTGATCTCTCGGTAGAGTGGTTTCTCGCCGGCTTTAAGGCGAATCTCGCGGAATTCTTCGCCTTGTGCAATCACGGTAAGCTGAAATAATAATGTCAGTTGACATACTTCATTTCAACAGCGCGGAAAGGATAGGCTCACCGTTTCAGATAACGTCGCTTGTGGCTTCAGCGACAATAGGACTTTCATAGTCTCGAACTGGATATAGTACCGAGCCATAGCGTCGCCGAACTGGGTCGAATGAAGGCTCTCAGCTTCAATCAGACCGCACTTCCGAAGAAGATCGATATCCTTCTCACAAATCTGGCGAAGCAACTCATCCTCGTCTTCCTTGTTTGCACCTTCCTTGAGCTTGTAGTGCGTCGGATTTCGACGAAGCCTAACAAACAAGAATGTCCCAGCGAGCCATTTGACAGCCGATTCGACGTCCGAGATGTTCCCCAAGCCAATCTCAGCATTGAGATGATCAATCAAATTCAAATGCAAGCAGCTCTCCAGACTCTCAGACCCCTGAACCAGTTTCTCATAGTGACTTACACGTTCCTTCCTGGTGAGGATGACCGCTGTTGCACTGTCGTCGAATTGAGGTCGGCCCGCGCGGCCAAGCATCTGCATCATCTCCAAATCTGAGTACTCCTTGCAGCCTCCATCTTGCCAACAGACAGTGTTTTTGATTATGACCAGGTGGCAAGGCAGGTTGATTCCAACTGCAAGTGTAGACGTGCAGCATATAACGTTGATATGCCCATCTCTAAAGCCTGTCTCAACAGTGTGGCGATCAGCGGGACCCAAACCAGCGTGGTGGAATGCTACACCAGCAGCGAGTGTTGCTATCTCGAATTAGCTGTGTTTCTTTAAATTAAGTCTCTGGGCCATACTCTTGAGATCCTCATTATGAGCCTCGAGGCACTTCTTGGGTTCCTTCCAAAGCCTGGCAGGTGGATTCGTCAATGTGTGAAGGCGAGCCAACTCTTTCGCCGTCGCAAGCGCTGAATTCCGTGTGCAACAGAATATCAGGATAGGCTTCTGGCATGAATGCATTCCGATTACTTCAGGCAACCTTTTCAAGCTCCAATCAGTATGCCAACGAGTAATTCAAAGCGAAGAAGAGGCAGAACAAAAAATTCACCTACTTTGAACCGCAGACTTTATCAAATGCAAAGTCATTCGAGTTAGACGCATATCCATAGACAACCTTCTTCAATATGACAGGACGAAACTCTTCACCGAAATGCTCCCGGTGGGCAGGAACATGCTGGTTTGTCGCATCCTTCCCAAGCCAGGTAGCAATATCCTCAGAGTTAGGAACAGTCGCACTCAAAGCCACAAATCGCACATTCGATCCGATATTCTTCATCCGGGAAACCACAGCCTCGAGCGTAGCTCCACGCGTCTCCTTCAGAATATGTACCTCGTCAATGAGAAAGAGCTTCACGAGCTGCATCAACTTCATATGATCTTTCCACTTCCGAGTCATGCTATCCCATTTCTCGGGCGTCGTGATGATTATCTGGCTACACTGGACGTTGCGCAGCTGCATGTGGTCCGTGTCTCCAGTCAGTTCTGCGCACTTGAGGTTCAAGCTGGAGAACTTGGAGTGCCAGTCTCGGAAGCGCTCGCTGCAGAGGGACTTGGTGGGTGCTTGGTAGACTACTTTGAAGCGTTCGTCTTTGAGGGTGTTCAGGAGTCTGCAGATGGCCAATTCCATCACCACTGTCTTGCCGCTGCCGGTTGGAGCGGATAGAACGATGTTGTCGTTGCTGTTGTAGACGGAGTGGAAGGACTTGGATTGAATGGCATTGAAAAGTGGGAATGGGAACATCGAGCGGTAGTTCTCCGGCAGGTCATTCACTGATACGAGTACGATCCCCCGCACAGAGGGTGGGATGTTGCTGAATAGGTTTTGCCGTTGTCTATTTTCAGTCGAAGCCATTGAACTCGCTTGGGCGATCGGTTTCTGGGGTGAGGACTGATTAGTCTCATTGTGGTATGGGCCACGATTCGTCTCAAGGCTGCGTTGTCCCATCCATATTCCATTCTTCTTCTGGTGGAACGAAGCCAACGGGCTCGAGGGAGGCCCTAAAACAGGGTCCGATGAACTGGGCCCATTCCAGCGGGAAGAAACGGTACTCGAGCTTGCTATTGCTTGTTAATCCCGAATCAACAAGACAGGAACACCAGCACGGGTATACAAGCAACTCACGCTGAAAGAAACGAGAGACTTGGGATGTCTGTAGATCAGGCTGGCGAGACGCTTGAAGCGGCATAGATTGAGAAACTCCAAATCCTGAATCCTGAATCTCTATATCCTCTGAGGCTAGTAGTTCTAGGTCTGGCATCAATCAGCACCCGCCATGATGATAAGCCGGCAGACTCACCAAAAGCATCCAATTGAGGGTCGCCATCATGGGCTGATGATCCCAGGCCATTGAAGGGCTTTCGGGGAGATGGGCTGCTGTATTGTGGCTTCTGGGAGCCTTGGATGAGTTTCTCGTTGATGATACCGGTTATACTACTATTCTTGGACGGGGAGGAGGCATTTGTGCGCCTCTGGGAAGGCAATTGAAAGGGTTTGAAATTCGATGTCTGATGATTTCTCCGCATCTTTGAGATGCGTTCTCGATTATTAGGATTGAATCTGGGGTTGTGATGATGAATTTCGAGAGTGCCTTGGTTCCAAGGTCCATGATCCCGATAACGTGACAGCACGTGGACGAATCCATACCTTTGTAGTATATGAATATACTGTCGCAGTTTATTTTCAAATCAGTCAAGTATCGTCGGGTATATCAAAGTGTTTCATTGCTTCGTATATATGCATACATGAACCAAAACCGGCAAACATCTTGACAGTAAGAGGGCAAAATTTGGCAGCGAAGAGTAGCTACGCTCCAGATCAGGAGCGGCATCAATAGTGAAAGGGCTTGCGACTGGCGGCTTTCTTGAACATCGCACTTCCATCCGCATCTATCAAGTATCCAATATCATTTCCCGTAAAGAGCATCTCATCAGGTAGGCCAATAACAATATGCATAGCGAGCTACAGCAATCATTTCTCATCGAAATAGTTCGCGCTTGTATTCCGGCTAGAGCTTACTCTGGTATGGCCTGGTGCTGGTGAGGTGGGACGGGACGACGACATGCCGTCAGAGAGGAAAGGTGAGGTTGGAAGTTTGATAGAGAAGTCATTGGAAGGCACCACGGGGGAGCCCTCGTCACCTGCGGGGTCCTTTTCGTAGGCGTCGATGCGGATTGGAGGCGGACGCAAGGCACCCATGACAGGGCTGAAGGTGGGATTCCCATAGTAGTGAGTTGCTACCAGGACTGCAGCCGAGCCCAGGAGGAACTATAATGTCCCAGTCAGTCTTGTCCATAATTCATGTCGAGGGCGGTTCTGAAACAGAAGCAGGGAAGTGTTGAAGGGGTAAAGGACTTACACTTGCATTGACCTCAAATTCAAATAGCCAGATGCTTCCCACAATGCTCAAAATTATGTTGGCAGTTGTGGCGAAACTCCTTGCATCTTTCTGCGCGTGGCTGACGTAGAATGCAGAAACGATACCACCCAAGGCCTGGAGGATGATGGTAGACCACACCGCCCAATTGTAGCCCTGGAAGAAACCATCTTCAGCGATCTTTTCGCCATCCCGGAAGACAATCCCAATGAAGAGAGCCGGGAAAACGGAGTAGACGGCTAATTGCACATTGCGGACCCACAACGAGATATGGTTCGAGCTGTCCTTTAGGACTTTCTCGAAATAAATCCCCGCAAGCCCAGAAGCTAAAGATGCTCCGATGGTCGCAAGGAGACCAATTGTGGGGTTCAAGTGTGGGTCAGCCGTCAGGATGTCCTCTTCGATGCCCTCGTATGTTGCAGACCGCTTTTGCAAACTGCTGCCAGAACCAGCACCTTGCTTGACAGCCTTCCATTCCTCCAGGGATCGAGGGAAATAATGGCTAGTATGATCATCCTGCAACATCTGCTCCGGGCTAGCATCGGGGATCTGCACCAACGCCACGCCCACAATGAGAAGCAAAAGCAGGCCCCACTTGCGGGGAGGGATGCTCCGTCTCAGAAGCATCAAACCAAAGACCGCAGTGGTAAGGAACTTCAGCTGGAATGTAACTTGGAACGACGCAGCTCGTAGGTTCGAGAGCGCAATGTACAGCAGGGAGTTGGACAAGACGTCGAGCCCGGCAGGGATAGCGAGTTTCCAGCTGTCGCCTGAGAACACGGCGCTTGTGAGGGAGAAAAAGAGGGAGGTGGCGGGCATTGAGGGTGGTGCGGTTTTGGAGACGTCGTAGAGTGCCATTGTGAGGGAGATGGCCAGCTTGACCACTTCGACTAAGAAGACTGCTGTAGAGGTCAGGTAGCGTTTACCACCGGCGGGTGGCATGACTCGAGAATAATGAGCTAGCTGTAGTGTAAAAATACAATTAGCCTTCTATCCTCTTCCTGTCACAAGAATCTCCACGCGCAGGATGACTTACCAACACAAATGCAGTGGACTCTGCAGTCAACTGGAAGGGAACCAAGTCAGCGAACAGTGCCCAAGATCGCAAAAGCTGTATTTCCCAACAAGCTCATACCAGAACCCATGGCGCAACATTGGCCGCAGCTCGCAGCCCAGACGGCCGGCGTTGAGCGCGATCTCCCATAACGAAGTACGTGTTCCCTATAAACAGCGGCTAACGTTTCCGCAAAAGGGGCACGCAGTATAATCCCTAATCCGTGAATGTGGTGAATGGGCTCAGTAGAGGCAGCGACAGGAAAAGTGTGTATGATGATGTCCTCCGTAGAGCAAGCTGCAAATCCCAACTCGCGAACCAGGGGTGGGCTGGTCTGGAGATCTTCCCTTTTAGGTCCGGATAGGGTTTCCCGAGGGCGATCGGAGGCGACGCGAGTGGCTGGGAGGCGAAGGAGAGAATGGGCGTCGGCTGACTCCACTGTATGAAGGAGGGTATTCCGAAGAACTTGAAAAAGAACGTGGAAAAGAAAGGAGAGGAAGATGATAGAGTGCTCAAGCAATAATCCGGGGTTATAGACGAAAAGGTCGGCGGTCAAGGAGTGGATCACGGTTCACCAAGGGTTCGACCTTGGAAGTTGTCGCGTGAGGTAAGTGATGTGTACAATTTTAAGCTGTGTACCTTTTGTGGGTATCTCATATCACATTTAGAATGTTCTGTGTGGAGTACTGGATTTTGGGAGAGTTGTTGATGACGTCGAGCTGTCCAGACATTATTCACAGCCATTGTTATTCTCCTCGCATGTCGTCATTCGTCGATATTGTCTATTTCCTATCCGAGATTGATTATGGGCATTTATAGGGATCTACAAAGACATTGAACAAGACAAGATGTTCAGATTCTTCAAATCTTAGCTCGCTAAGTAAAGAGCTTGTATAAGCGGCCAACTATCTTGCTTCTATATAAATGAGAAACTTACTAGAAACACAGCGATCCCTGATATAACATTCCCAGTACCCTGTACGGAGTAGTATTTGAAATTCTCTAGAAGAGAGATGTATGAGCGGCGAAACCCGAAAGCCCAAAGTCCCAAATGGCCGCTATACACCACGGTACCCGACTCAGGCTAAGCTAGAGCGCGGCAGGAATTATGTGAAGAATCGGGCAAGAAAATTGCATGAGTTCAGTTGATAAATTGATGATCATTGGGAATATTAATGATTATGATCGTGAGCCGGAAATGATGGGATCGTGAGAAAGGCACGAAAACCATCCAAGTAAAACATGATAGCAGGTGCAGAAGCCCGCGAGTGAACGCTAATCCAAAAAGAAAAGAATAAATAGTGAGAAGACATAAGCAAAACGGTCACGTAGGAAAGGAACAAGAGGTCTATGTGGTTGGGTAAATAGAAGCTTGGAGCGAAGTGCTGCAAGTCAAGGAAATGCAGGCAAGACCGTAAAAGGTCATTTCAAGTAGGAATAGAGAGAGAGATAGAAGGGTGAAATAGGAAATGCAAGGGATGGAATGAGAGTGTCTGGTATCAAGGGCCAAGCGATCAGTGCACAGGAGGGAGATTGGCACTTTCCTGGTTCCAATCAAAGTCGAAAGACCAGAGAGGAAGGCCGGTGTTGCGTTTTGACTCACCACCACTATCCAGCAGGATAGCCTCGCTACTATCGGTGCGACGGCGGGTGTGCTGCTTCTGCTCTTGGGGGATGGCCGGCGGGGGCCCTCTTGGGGGCTTCGAAGAGGGAAGCGGCGAGAAACGATGAATTGGCAAAGTGGGGGTCAACGGCGAAGCACCGCTGGTGGAAGGGGATGGCAGGCTTTCGGAATAGTCCACACTGAGACTAGAAGAGGAAACTGCAGTGCGGGGTTTCCATTCACTGTCCGAACCCGAGCTTTGGGAGGGCGTTCCATCTTTGTAATGGGTAGCACCCTTTTCTGACGGGGCATCGAATGGCGGGAATACATGGCTGAGACGCAAGAATGAGGTGTCGGATCCGCAGAAAGAATCGCGCGATGGGCCAGAGGCTAGCGATCTTCTATCCGCTCCGTGCGCATTCAACAAACTGGGTGTGACCTTGCCCTTTCGAATACGCATCGCCTCGAGGAGATCTTGCTCTTGGCGGGTCACGGCGATCACACGACTCCTCCGGTTCAACTCTTTCAACTCTGCGGGGGTACGGAGAGGCTGCTGCGGGAATTGCGCCAGAATGTCATCTGGGATAGCGGGAACTTCGCTCGAACGGCGGGTTTGCGTGGTTCGTCCAGATTTCTGAGAAGACTTGCCATTCGAGGATTGAGAAGCCTTTCGTGGGCGAGCTTCGGGCACTGGCAGGCTCTTTTCGGTTTGGCGGGAGCCACGCGTGCTAGTCGAGAGTCTCCGGTCAAAGCGTTTCGCCGCCGTGGCAGTGGTCGCGTGGGCAGTGGAAGCCGTGTAGAGCTGGGGCTCATATTCGTCGTAAGTAGCCACACTGTCTCTTCTAGACTTGTTTGTATGACGCTTTGACTCGGTGGTTGGAGTTCGGTCCTCATCCTCGTCCTCTGAAGAAGAGGAAAGGCAAAGCATACTGGTGTTTCGAAGATCTTTGTTTTTCAGGGTACTTTTGCTGCCCTTCTTGGTCAAGGAGCTCTTCTCGCTCTTTGATTTTGACTCATTAGTCTTCCACGACTCCTGGGAGGTACTCGCGACGCGACCACGGTTTGTGTCTGGACATGAAGGAGGACTCAAGTACGTCTCATTGGGTCGAGAGGAGCTGTGAGGACGTCTTGAGCTCTTCCGAGGTTCCTGGGGTCGTTCCTGGGGGCGTTGCTGTTCTGGCCGTAATTGCTCTTGACTGGTAGTATACGTGCTTGAGCGACTCAAGAGTGATCGTTGCCCCTCATATCTATCCAGGGCTATATCAATCTCACTCGTTCCTACTGTCCGCTCAAGCGGTTGCTCCAACCACTCGTTATTTTTGCTCTCTGCAATCGAGGGCAAATCGAAGTGATCAAGACCATGTTTGGGTAGGTCATTCTTGGTGATTGAAGATCGAGGGGGAGGTGGGTCGTATCTCCTCGTGGTGGAGTTGCTCGTGCCGCCGGTCATCCTTTCAATCTTGTTTGAAGAAATATCCGGGTCCATTGAAGAGACGGGGGAGGGCGAGTTGACCATCCGGTGGGGGGACAGAAGTGTTTGGGGTTGGGGATTCCGCGGCTTCGGGAACAAGACGGAAAGATCGATTTTTGAAGGACGCATCTTCCGCTTGGATTCTTTCGGTGATTCTTGAGGCTTCGTGTATGTCACTTGGGGCTCACTGGAGAGTTCGTGCCGTACTCTCGGCTGGAGTCCACGGTTCTTGGGTGATTTAGGCGATTTGGCCGATTTGGCCGATTCTTTCGAGCTGAAATAGGAGAAAAGGGTGGACGAGGAACCGGAATGGTGAACCTTTTTCGAAGACTTGGGAAGCGGCGGCGCGGCCTCCTGGGATCGGAAGTCCTGGCCTAGCAGAGGCGATGAAGCCCGTACGCGAAGGTTCTGATCGGGAATCAAGGTATTCTCTGAAGAGCGCGGAAACGGAACCAGACCGGTGCTTTGTCTAGGAGCATTATTCGGCTTCGCAAAGCTCGGTCGTTGTACATTTGGAGGCTCCTGCCACCCGCCATGTTCCGTGGGAAGTGATATATCGGTTCCGAAAAATCTTTGGGCCTTCGAGGTTCGTCGGTCGACTCGGGTCTGTTCCTGGGTGTTCATTGGTTCGTGTTGTGCCGGTTTGCGACTCGACGTTCGAAGCGGCACATGGACCGGTGTGAGTTCTCGGTGTCCCATGGTGGGAGAGACAGAGCGCAGTTCAATTGCGCATGAATCGTATGATGCGAATGGGTCGTGGACTGAGTGCGCAAAATATGTCTAAGCGGGGGGTTCCTGGTTCAAGTATCTCGCTTCGGTTGAATCTACTCCACCAAATTAGTTACTTAGTCTGCAATTTAGGGGAAATTGGGCTGAACCTCAACGTACCCGGAAATAGAAAGAAACGTTTGCTGTTTAAGGATTGACTCGGGACTGAGGAAGGGATGTATAGACTTGGTAAAAATAAAAGAGCCAAAATGCGTGATCAGTTGGGATTCGGATGTTTTTTGTACGAAAGCGTCGAGTGTAGTACAGAACAGGCAAATGAGTTTGAAAGATTTCCTGTTCACGCGCTTAAAGGGGGGAGACTCCACCGATGTCTTAAAGAATCCTCATAGGCTGAAAAGCAGCGTTTCATTTATTCCAAATTTAATTTCGAGTGGAGCACGGTCTCTCGAGAGTTGATCGACATACAATATTAGAAATACTGGAAGTACGGAGTATATGGATACGAAGTATTAGGGCTCCGTCTAGGATGTGATATCCAAGGTTGTGATAGGGAATCTCGGTCTCAGGGGTATATATGCTACCTATAACCTACATATCATGGTATATCATGCATTTGCATAACACTATTATTCCTTAGTATACTCCGTACATATACTACTTCGAATCTTAACATTTACCCCTTACTGCGGTATCTGCAACCTAAAAAAATAGTCAACGCCCACATGAAGAACGTGGCATTGCCCGTGAGTTTGCGCTATCGACGCCTCCCACGAGGTCTGCTCACGTCCTTGCCGTCGCTAATTGGAATTATGACTCCGTATGCTCCACTAATTCAGGTACCAATCCGCTTGTCCTATCCACTCACATGGATGCTTTTTCCTAAAACACACACAGCACGGAGCTATCGCCAGCATGTGGAGTCTAGTCAAGTCTAGAGCCACGAACTATGGAGTATCCATATTTGAGCGACTGCAAAGTCCATAGCTGGAACTTGTGGTCGCATCTGAGAGCAGATCGACAAATCGATCGTTTATCAATGCGCCGGAGCGAAGTATTCTGAGATCTTGTTATTCAGAACCGCTCTAATACGATAGAGGCCCCCACTCGATGTGCTCCATGACAAATACCAGCCCGTGTCCGGAGGATGTACTCCGTAATCGCCCCCTCGAACCCTGGGCAGTGATGTTTCGACTAAGAATACTCTCTGTTCCATGGATGCACGTCCAAAGGCCCACGGGAAGTGGCAATGATCGACTTGCATGTGGGCTCCTTTCAAACTCCACCTTTCGCGTGTGCTACTCGGGAAGATACTGAGACATGAATCTGATCGTTTGCGACTGACAGTTTGACAATTCACGGGTGTAACCAAGTCGTGAAGGCGCTGTGTACCAGGGACCTTACCTATATTGTGAGACTCGGTGTCGAACATGCGAGCGCAATTTCTCAAAAATAGGAGGCACAAACACTATAGACAAACTTTGTATTGAATCAGCCCATGTGCCGTGTCTTTGACCCACGAGGCGGAACAAGCAGCGATGACACTCCGGGGCGCAATTTCACTCAGATCGAGATCTCCGAGATCGATTGGACGAACGCCGATCAACCTCCCTATACGTAATTAGCGGGTTTCGGTCTGCCGCTCCGACTCCGATATGTAGAACAACAACACATCCTTCGAATACACACAAAGACAAAAGAAAAGAAAATACTCCGTGCGCCATTTCACCCCAAGCGCAGTCAAACGGAACAGCTAGTGGTTTGGTAGGCGGCTAGGTCGGATGGTCATGCGGTTAGCCCCTGATGGTCGCCAATAGTCGACTCCAATAGCCTAGTCTCGTCCCAGGGTTTCGGATACGCTCTATTGTCGATCTATTGTCTTCGGTGCAGATCATGGAACGAAAATCATGGAAATCAGGGAAATCCTCCACATTTCACATCCCACTTTCCAAATCGTGAGACTTGACATCATTTTGGCGCAAGAGTTCAAAAAGCGCATAAAGTGCATAAGATGCATAAAAGTGCACAAAAGTACCACCAACATCGACCCTCGTATCCGTTAGCCGAAGAATACCAGGACTATGTAAAGTCTTCTAAATACACACTCTACTTTGATCTCAGATTCTCAACACAATCCCGCACTCGGAACGCCACTGCCTGGTGGTCGAGATATCCCTCTGTTGCTGCTTCAATCAAGCCTTGCTCCTGATATTCTGCCAGCCCAATGTCCTATAACCCCTGGTCTACATTGAATCGGAAATATCGCTTGCTATCATAATGCTGTCGCCATTTAGCGATGAATCGCTTCTCCGTATGTATACTCGGTTTAGGTGACGAGGCTTAGCAGGGTTTGAGAAACAAACTTGAGTAGGTTGTCCTCCATCGCCTTCTTCCCAGGGTTACCGGTGCCGATCGAGATAAAGCACTTCACCAGCGGCTTCAGGTCGCCTGTTTCTTCATACTAGATATCAGACGCTTCGTCTTCTACTTCATCCATAGGGTTATTAGCCCTAAGCGCGTCATCCGCGAATTTGCGGGCCTCGATAGATACCGGCTTGAAGAAGGTCGTGGCGGCGGAGGTTGCGTAGGCGGCCTGGCTGATGGTGGCCGGAATTCCAGGCTTATTGCGTATAGAATAGCTGCGAAGGTGCACGATCTCCCTGGTCTCGTGCGTTATACTACAGACGAACCTGGAGCCGTTAGCAGGATACGGGACCATCAGCTCACATACACTTATACCCGGCAACCCTGGTCAGCTTTATCATTGAATAAATTGGTCGGCTTAGCTCCATAGCTATTGATGACTTCGTTGATTGTACCCTCGAGCTTGTCGGCATCGAATTAGGGCTTAATCTTGCCAAAAAGGCTGGACACGCCCGGTTTCGAGGGCTTATCAAAAATAATTTTCGTCAACTTGATATACGCCATGATACACTCATCGACATCCATCCCCAATCGACCTAACATATTCGCAATCAATCTATATCTGTAAGCCATCCGATATTATAACACGGACTAAATCAACCTACCCGCCAGTACTGGTGCCGCCTATAAGGTCAAACACCTCGCAGGGTTTCTTTGCGGGTGAACCCTCGGGGCGTGTCTGGTTCAGTCGATCCATCAACCCTTTCAGGATATACAGGGTCGACAGTCGTTCGGCTCCCCGCCGTGAACAGTCGCTACTGCTTGCTGCATCGAAACCTCTCTTCAGTCTGGTAATATTGCTTGCAAGAATGAGTCATAAGCATAAGGGCAAAGCATAAAGAGAAATGGTCATCAGTCCGCTGGCCTGGGAATGGGCAGTTCAGCGGAAGGGTATTGGGCTGATGGCTGTGACCAACGCACCTCACCTCAGACACATCACATCCCTTGGGGTCATTCTGCTCCACTCCTTTAAAGACGGCAGTTGATTCGTACACATCCACTGCAGACCTGCGTTACGCTTCGATGATGTTGCAGTAGCCAATCCCTGCTACTCATGTCATCCTCGGTGCACATTTCCATCTTTCCTTCTTAAGAAGTCTTTCAATTTCTGCCGTGCGAGTCTAGACACCACATTTCCAAACAGTCGTTGGACATGAACGTGCATAAGATAAGGCGGGTCGGACCGACACCATCCATCTGATGGAATTTTGCCCGGGGAGATTTTGCCCTGCTGAGCCAGAGACTGAAACTCGCTGCAGCCTCGCAGTTTAATCCCGCGATTCGCCAATTCTCAGGTCGCGAAGAGTGCCAATTACAGCGCCCGTTCAGTCGGGGGATAATATAGATGCCATAGAGTGCAGGTCGTGGGCGGGGTTGAGAGGGGCCTAGACATAAGCCTCCAGGCAGATCTGCCACAAATAGGGTTAGATCCACGTGACACGTGTAAGCCAGTGGTCCACCCAACCCAACCTACATACTAATTTCAGATGCATATCTCAGCCAAAACTCCATTGAATCTGTTTGGACATGCATTTCTTGTACGGTCCTGATTTATACATAACCCTCACATTGGCAATCCCCTCGTTCGTGGTTTTAAATGTGGAGAAGGCCTTCTGCGCCGAGGGGGGAAGGTGCTTCAACTAGGTACTTTCAAATGTCGTCGGGAAGTTCTACTTGGGAGAATGCACCTTTGCCTCTCCGTTGTACTTACCCTCGGCTCGTTCTTAACGTATTTCTTGTCCGAAACCCTGATCTGGCACGTTGGAAGCAAAATCTTAGCAAGCCTCGCAATCGTCTCGTCGCCCAGTTGCTTCTTAGAATGATTGTGGTTGGGTGTCTACTTGAAGACTGTGTTAAAAATTTGAGCCGAGATTTCCCTATCTGCAAGCTTAAAATGCACTTTCTTGTCTGTGCGCCCGGGTCGAATGAGTGCTTCATCAAGATGTTCCATGTGAATAGGAATCCAAGTTCGTCAGAAGGGAGCACTGCAGCGTCGTTAGCTTCCTCCACCGAAGGAAAGTGAGCCTCGCCACCGGATGAGGCAGAAAGAAGAATTCACTCTTGGTCCGACTCTTCTATATGTTAGGCCAAAGAAACACAATAAGGAAACATAGATGTGGAAGCCGCTGTCGTCCTCTCCCTGTACAAAGTCCGCGGATATTCAATGGGTCGTCTAAGGATTCAGCAAACTCGGGAACATCATAGGATCCGGACATTTTTGTAGAAGATGTGTCTTGCTTAGCTCGGAGTCTTAGCATCAGGAAACGGCAAGCTCTAGCGAGTGAAACATATTTTATTCTTAGATATTAACAAAGTTTGGAATTAGCGAGTCTATTCATAGACACAGCTCAGATTCCATTGTATTAGGGCCCTAGTCATCTTTTATCTTTGTCTTTACCATTTGGTTTTTCATTCTACGTCAGCATCTAACGTCACTTTGCCCTGAAATATATATCAAGATAATCCTGTCTCGTATCGGATTTCCAGCAAACAAGGGGCCAGGTGATTCATTGATCCAAGTTCAGATATATTCCTCTAGATATGTCATCTGTCAAGTCAAGTGTAACACTGCGAATATATTCAAGGATATCATTAGAGGTAGGGCTGGAGAGGTGTAGTACGTAAAAGCAACCAAACCCTAAATCGATGTGGGGAGGGGCGAGACATTGTTATTGCAGATATCAGCCGGTGGGTATTGCACCTGGGCAGGATATGACATGCATAGAGTAAGTCAGTAGTAAGGGACAATGGACTGCACGATGATTATTCTGTACCCCTATGCCTGCCCAATGAGCCCCCTGGGAAATGATTTCTTCATAACAATGAGATACGCCCCGTGCCAAGAAGCCACCCGAGGCACGCCCCCACTTCACGTGATGCATGGCGATGGCAAATCAGAAACTTGATAGAACTTGGATGAATGACCATGATATGTATGATTTAGGGGCGAATAGCTCATAGAATCCTGGTTATTACGTTGTAAAGGCGCTGGGCAAGAGGAAGTCAACCGGCTTATCTGAGTGTATCATCGGTCCCACCTCTATCTGGTAATGATTTCTGCCGGTCTAGAGCAGAACCAGGGGCCCTTTCTCCAGGTTTCACACTCGGATCATTTGGTATTTCACATCCATAGACAGTAGTCAAGGTATCAGGTCTGATGTATGAAAAATAAACAGCCCAATAGCAAAGAATCAAAAAGAATCCAAATGTTGCACGTTGGGCCATGACATCGTCCACGGGAACCGGAATAAATGTTGTTCTCCGCCCCAACTCCTTGTCAGCCGCCACTGTTTCTTTCTCCCCTTCCCTTTGCTTCCTTGCTTCCATTATTTGTGTTCTATTTCCCCCCTAACAACTTGATTATCCTCGGCTCTTGACATTATGTGCTGAATGCCCTTTGCATCGATGGTTTCGCTGGTGTACCGTGCTGAGGGGGTGTTTTGCTAAAAAAAGTTAATTTGGGACATTCACAGTTCTTTGTCCTCTTGCACATGAGCTCGCTTTACAATGACTTCAAATGCTCCCAGCTCCCTTCAAATATCAGAAGTCGACTCGGCTTTGACTGACCACAACGCGTCCGTATCTGCGACCTCCCACGCGACCCACAGCCCCGGATCTCGATTCATTCGTCCTCGAAAACGCGAAATGGACGAAAGAGAGGAGCTAGGCCAAGGGCCATCAAATGCCTCCATCGGACAGTTCTCCTTCGCCCCGACTACCCGGACTACGGTGGTGACGACCACTACCACCACGACTACCTCCTTCCCGCCGTTGACAATCAACCCCCCGCGAGCCGTCAAGGATCTAGATGTCCGACAGTACCCTCTCGCCTCATCCCCGACTCCAGCGGCTTTAAGAAACCTCAAGTTCAAGATCGGCGAGAAGTCCATCATCTTCAACGAGCCCGAGGATACCATAAATGCTGCCGCCGAGGTACGATTTTATCCTACCCTCTCGGTCTAGTCGAATCCAATGCTTACAGTATAATAATATATAGTACAAGGAGAAAAGCGAGGCGTTAAAATCTTCAAATGGCCCGATTCGCTCTGTGAACTCGTTCATCGCCGAGGGCGAGAACCCTACTCGGCGGCTGACCCCTCCGAGAATAGCGAGTCAACCTTCTAGTCACCCTTTCAATACTCGCCGTCGTGCCATATCCCCCGTCACGCTTTTCGATACTCGACCCTCGGTTCTCCCACGAACTCGCCCAACACGGGCTCCTTCTGAGCCCATTACACGCCGCACTCGCCAAAGTGGCGTGGGATCAACTCATCTTGCCGCTGGCCTTGCCACCCCAGACACCGAAAGCAACCTGGGCGGATTTGGCGAAAATGTGCCCCCAAGACCGAGAATCCACAGCTCGGTGTTTCCGCGCAGGGAACCTCCTTTGCCTTCACCTCTCTCATCTGAAATCGGAGCTAAGGGCTTACAGGCATCCAATCAAGGTTCTTACTTGCAGAATGCATTTTCTGGGATTCGTTCAAACCTCGGGAACCAAGAGTCTCAGGCTACTGAAGCCGATGAGAGTTGTTCAACTGCACATGAATCAGCCTCATTTGGTCATGATACAACATATGGAACACAGGAATCTGCAATGCAAGAGAGACCCGAGGTTATGTCTCAACTATCGGCAATAGACAATGCCATGGCGCAAGATATGTGCCTCCCGAGCCCAAGTCTCTCACCGGTTGCTGCTATGAATGCCCTCCATGGTGAATCCTCCTTCGAATCAGAGGGGCTTGACGTTGATACAGATTCCAGCCTCGATCATAATGTCTCACGTTTTTCTAAGGTCTTGCGGCTTCAAGATGCAGATGAGACTCGGGTAAATGACCATTCTCTCGCAAACTCACGGTCCCCTCCCTCCCTCTTAGATATGCCCAAGGTATTGGAGTTCTTTGATTCAGTGCCTGATGAGGTCAAGACGTATCTCATGTATCAATTTCTTCGGAGATGCCCTAAACCTACTCTTCATTTCGTGGCCGATGTCGTTAATCCAACATTGAAGTGCGATTTCCTGGCTCTTCTGCCGCTTGAGCTTAGTCTCAACATCGTCAAATACCTTGACGTACAGACGATGTGTCGTGCTGCGCAGGTGTCTAAGAGGTGGAGACACATTACGAATTCCGATGAAAAGAGCTGGAGGAATCTCCTCGAGCAGGATGGATATCATCTCTCAGATGGGGAACTAGAACGGGCTATAAGACAGGGATGGGGATGGCAGTTATCCAGCGGCCCTGACGATCATGAGGAGGATCTCAGCGTTTTGACTCCATCCAGGGCGGATATGGAGGCGTCCCCTGTTCCTTCGATGGCGGGTCCCAGCAGCAGAAGCCCTCTAGGGTCTTTGCCAATCAGCCGACGAGGCAAGCGGAAAGCAAACACACGTGCTTCAAGCCGGAAGCTTGCCAAGCGAAAGGTCTCATCCAGTGGAGGAGAACTCCCCGATCCAGACTGGAGGAGAGATATTGCCGCGTCAGAGGCCCCGTACGCCGCTGCTAGCGCTGCAGCTGGGTCGGTGCCCTATGCTGAAGTGGGTCTACCATCTCTTCGTGGGCTGTTCCTCTTCAAGGTTCTGTACCGTCGCCATGTTGCCATCCATAAGGGATGGATGCAGCCGGATGTTAAGCCGCAACATATCGCTTTCCGCGCTCATGACCGCCATGTTGTTACTTGCCTGCAATTCGACGCCGACAAGGTTCTTACGGGAAGCGATGACACAAACATCAACGTGTACGACACTAAAACAGGCGCGTTGCAGGCAACGCTGGAGGGCCACGAAGGTGGAGTGTGGGCTCTTGAATATCATGGCAACACGCTAGTCTCCGGCTCTACCGATCGTTCAGTGCGAGTCTGGGACATCGAGCGAGCCAGGTGTACTCAGATCTTCCACGGCCACACTTCCACAGTTCGATGCTTGCAAATCGTTCTGCCTGCCGAGGTAGGTAGGAATGCAGATGGCCAGCCTGAGATGATGCCTAAAGAACCATTGATCATTACTGGGTCTCGTGACTCAAATCTTCGGGTGTGGAAGCTTCCCAAACCCGGTGACCCAGTCTACTATCAGAGTGGTCCTACGGTGGATGACGCTAGCTGTCCATACTTCCTGCGTGTGCTCTCCGGCCATCAGCACTCTGTTCGTGCAATCGCAGCCCACGGTGATACCCTTGTGAGTGGTAGTTACGATTGCACGGTGAAGGTCTGGAAGATTTCCACCGGACAGACTTTACATACTCTGCAGGGTCACTCGATGAAAGTGTATAGCGTGGTTCTTGACCATAAGCGCAATCGTTGCATCAGTGGAGCCATGGACCACATGGTTAAAGTTTGGTCACTAGATGATGGAGCCATCCTATATAATCTCGAAGGCCATACATCTCTCGTTGGCCTGCTCGCTTTGGAGCACGATTTCCTTGTCTCTGCTGCCGCTGATTCCACCCTCCGCATCTGGGACTCCGTGCATGGCCACTGCAAGAACACCCTGAGCGCACACACTGGTGCCATCACCTGCTTCCAGCACGATGGACAGAAGGTCATCTCCGGGTCTGACCGGACGCTGAAGATGTGGGATGTGCGAAACGGTGAGTGTGTTCGAGACCTCCTCACAGACCTTAGTGGCGTGTGGCAAGTCAAGTTCAATGACCGGAGGTGTGTTGCCGCGGTGCAACGTGATAGTTTGACTTATATCGAAGTAAGTTTTCTAATGAGGGATTCCGATGATTAATGCTAATATTGCTTCCACCTAGGTTCTCGACTTTGGTGCTGCACGGGATGGAGTCCCGGAAAGCAAGCTTGCAAAACGCATTGTCGTTAATCGACGTGGGCAGGAGGTCCTCGGCGGGATCGAAGATGATGACGACTTGTCTGATTGAGATGCTTAGCACGCATTTTCTGCCCTCGATCAATATCAACATCCGACAACCTTTCTCCTTATACTACTTCTTCCTTTCCTCTGTCTTTTCTTCTCTTCTCACTCTATTCCCCCATTCACGATACCCATCCTTACAGCTCTCGTCTTCCATCGGAAAAATATCCTTTGCATAGCGCGGTCGGCATTCTTTGGTTCTGCAGCATTACGATAAGGGACCAGGCGTTTTTTTTCATATCTTTCATCATCTCTTATGTGGAGGTTTCTATCATTCTGTATTCCCAAATATTTGCCTATCCCCATGCATCCTGCCATCCATACGTTTTCTCTTTGCCTGATGCTTATGTGACTTCCCATTCTGTTGCCTGCCAGATCGGTGATTCTTTTACATATTTTTCGTCTTGCTTTGTCCGTATCGGACTGCCCATAATAGATTGATTACCTATAATCTGTTCCAAATCGTGTCATGAGCTGGATTGGTGTTTAGGTTGTATTGTAATAGTACATATGTATTCTGCTTGCGGCTGCTGGTTCTCATAGCGAAGCATTCAAATGCTTCCAACATGGACCATGGTGTTGCTTTGCGGTCTAAATACACCCATGCCGGCTAGTTCGTGATAGTGTACGATAGCTCAGCAAGCCCGATTTGAAGATTGCCTACCATACCCAGGAAAAGCCAGATATTTCAATCCTGGCCCTAGAAAAGGAACGAAAGGTATATAGTCTCGTCTCCAGCCTATATATTCATGCGCTCGGGATGACTGTTGATCTGATGTAAACACACCTACACTTCGAGGTTGAGTTATTGTGACGTAAGTTTCAATCATCATGGATCCTGACTACTCCGTATATGGAGCTCCACTACGCTCTACAAGTATCCAAGCACATATCTTGCTATCTCCATCTCAAAGATTTCGATCAGTGGTCTCTTCTCTCCGTTCATCAACCTTCTCAGACTTCCTACCCATCCGACTCTTCACCTCCCACCTCCCATCCCACTATGCCCTCTGGTAACGCCGATTCATCTCTTCTATCCTCTAACCCCGAAAGTATTGACCTTGGGGTCGATCCTACAACCCTTCTAACCGCCCATATCCTCGACCGACCCTCCTCTCTCGACGAGCTTTGGGATTATCTCGACGTACTCAAAACAAAGCTTGTGTCAGAGGACCCTAGCTCGCAATACCTTTTGGTACAACGGATCCCGGACGATCTTTTTTCGGCCCTTATTGAACACCCTGACGTTCCAAAAGGGGTGCGCGCAACAATTCTCTACCACGAACATATGATCTTATATAAGATCATACCGTACCACTACCATGAGGAAATCAGCCGTCAATTTGATACCTGGATTAACTATGCTCTTAGTAATATGGGGTTAAGCTTCATCAACCATGATTTTTGGCTTGGACGGGCTGGACGATCGACTGGTCGTATGTGCAGTAAGGAGGCAGACGCAGCGTTTTTCCCTGGAATGGCACCGGCCGCCGGGGCACCTATACCATGGCCCTCTCTTGTGCTAGAGGTCGGCCTATCCGAGTCTATCCCTCAGCTACAGATGGATGCCCGCTGGTGGTACTCCAACTCGGACCACCAAACCCAGCTTGTGGTCCTTGTCTCCGCCAACCCTAGGTCTCACGATGCAGACATCGAGATTTGGACCCCAGTTGTCAACCGAACAGTTGGGGCTACTACCAGTGGCCAGCATACTCACGTCCTGGAGTGTACCCAGTCGGCTAGGCTGAGGAACGGAGTGGTATCTGGTGATGCACTGGAAATCAATTTCCAGACTTTGATGGGACGGCCGTCACAGAACCCGCAAGAAATAGATTTACAGCTTACTCCGCTGTGGATACAGGCGATCTGTCGGTAGCGTGTCATTTGGCGTTGTTGGATCGTTGTGCTGTTGCTTCAACTTGATGAGAAATTGTATACCTTATCGTGGTTTCGAAACATTTCATGAGTTTACCTTGCTACCAATACTACCCAGATCCGGAATTGATAGACGAATTGACAGTAAGGTAGTCTCTGAATAGCTTCATTAACAATGTTTTATGCATCAGTCAATGGTTGATTATTTATGGTAACTAGATCACGTGTAGATCACTAAGGGGCCCATAATAATTTAGTGCTGTGTGTATATTGTAGATAAGCATTTAGTGGGTTTGGGGTGTATGCATATTACAACATACGGAGTACTTCTCTCCGTTTAAACTTGAATTCGGACAACAAGGCATGCCCTTCACGACAAGATAGCCGGCGTCTCTGCAGGAGGCGGCACAGCAAGCCGGCCACCCTGCAAGCTCCCATCAATACCAGCAGCCGACAAAATCGACCAACGAACAGCATCGATCCCCAGTGCCCGGCCAGGACCAATCCGTGCTTCGGCACTACAGGTCAAGATCTCACCCAAAGACCCAGGCCCCTCCGAAGCCCGCGGGTCCGGCTGAACAATGGGTTTAATGCCCTGGAGCAAGAGCTGTAGCCGCTCGATATTGGCGGGCGTGACCCCAGTCTTTATCTGCTTCAATTGTTTAACGAGGAACTTGTCGACCTTGGATAGAATGATCTGGTGGGGAATTGCGTGGTGTCGGAATAGTCTGAGGATCTCGGCGTCTGTTTGCTTGATGCCGTGCGTGCTGTCGATAAGGAGGAATGCGCGACGGAGTCTATAACATGTTTGTCAGTCATTGTACATGCCATGGGCGGGTAGGTTGACAGGCATCATTGACTCACTGTTTCCGTCCCTGGAGATACTTCATAATCTCCGCTCCCCACTCAGAACGACTCGCCTTTCCGTATCCCGGCATGTCAAGCAGCACAACCTTCGACTCGCCGCCCTTTGTACCTCCAATCCCGAACGCGTTCATTTCCCTCGTGCGGCCCGGTTTTGACGATGTCCAGCACATCTCCTGTCCCATTATTGCGTTCAGTAGTGAGCTCTTGCCGACATTTGAGCGGCCCAAGAATGCGACTTCCGGCTCGACTGATGCGAATGGTGTGGTGCGGAATTTGGCGGCGGACCAGAGTTTTAGCGGTGAGTGACGCGACGGCGTGAAGATCTTATCTGCGAAGGCTAGTTGCTCCTCTTTCGGGGGTCTGGTATCCCAGTAGTAGCAGAGGTCGGTCGGGGTGAGGTCTTTGAGTTCGCGCTTGGAGTGGGGATTCGAGGCTGAGGATAGGGCCCGTATGGTTGTATATAATGATATCCTGGGTGCAGGATTCCTACATGCTGGTATTGAGTTCATTATGACTCGCGAACACCCGACAAAGGATTGCCAAAAAGCCAAGAATAAAAAAATGTAGATGTTGGTATCAATTTCTCCAGATCGACGCACGGGGCAAGTCTCCCGAACCGCATCATCAGCTATCGGCGCATCCAGATAAGACTGACACTCTCTCCAGCTTGTCCATGTTCCAAGCCTCGCACCAGTCAAAATGATCAACGCAGTCCTCGTGTTCAATAACAATGGCCAACCCCGGCTGACCAAATTCTACACACAGCTGGTGAGTCGATACCCCGCCGCACTCGCCCTCGCCCTCACCCGTCGCAGGACACCACTAACCCCAGAAACAGGACACGCAAACCCAGCAATCCCTGATCGCGCAAATATACCGTCTAGTCGCGCAGCGTCCAGCAAGCGCCTGCAACTTCCTCCCACTCCCTCCTCTCCTCTCGCAAGGCGCCAGCTCTACCGCCTCCGGGCCCTCCGATACCCCCACCCAAATCACATACCGGACCTACGCGACGCTGTCGTTCATCATGATCTCTACGTCGACCGAGTCCCCGCTCGCTCTGATCGATCTGATTCAGGTGTTTGTCGAGGCGCTGGATCGGATGTTCGAGAATGTCTGCGAGTTGGATCTGATCTTCGGCTATGAGACTCTGCATGCGGTGCTCGGCGAGATGATTGTCGGTGGTGTTGTGGTTGAGACGCATATTGAGAAGATCATTGCTGGTGTGCGTGCTCAGGAGGGATCGTTGGGGAAGAGGAAGGCTGTTCAGGCTGCCAGTACCAGTTTGGGTCGTGGGGCTTTGCCCGGGTTGGGGGCGTGGAGGTGATGTGATCTGTGATCAGATGCTTTCTCTTCGATGACCTGCATATTATGGATTTGAGGACCGTGGTGTCCCGTTTGATCTATCCAAGGCGTTCTAGTTACGCATTCTAGACTTGCTTGGCAGGATTTGGGAATGATGTTTATATACTTGTCGGTTATTAATGCCCTCGAATGGTATGTTGAATGATGTGATTGTACGTTGTGGAGTTTGTAAAGCCAAATACCCATTTTCTTCGATGTATATAAACCGGTTTCATGAGCATATTTCATGAGCATATTCCCTTATCCTCTCCAGCAACTCTCCGGAAACAACTTTCATCCCGGAAGTCCGAACAACACAGGCTCACTATTGTTCAGAGGTTGACCAGAGGAATCTGCTGAGCATTCAGTCAACGATCAGCCCACAATTTACATTCTCCTAGCCATAGCCGCGCGCCCTATTCCGGTATTCGCTAGTATCGAAACGGTGGACGCCTAGTTAACCTTTCAAATAGAATGCCCATGGAAATCCGCTAGAAGGACTATCTGCAATAGCCTATTCTCCGAACCGTTATAGCTAATATATTAGAAGACGTTCCACTCGGCAAAGAGCGGGTTTAGCTTACTACGTGGCATAGCCACGACCGCTGGATATAGTAAGGGTGTAACTATTTATACGATTCGAAGTGGGTCTTTGTGGTAGCTGTTAGTAAAGTCCTAAATTTCAAGCCAAATCATAGCCCTAAAAGGCTCTAAAAGGCTCTAAAAGGCCCTAAAAGGACCTAAAAGGACCTAAAAGTGTCTAGAAGGCTTCTAGAGGGACTGAAGCGCATAAGCCACTAGCACCCTTCCGGTACTCCATGTCAATCCAAACCTTACGTCGCGGACGAGCGTCACAGAACTACTCCAAGTATGGACCCCCAAGTCGTACGTTCATATACTAAATGCGAATGTATTTAAATGCACGGAATTACTCTCGAAGAAAGTCCTCGACGTGATCTTTCCAAGCTGGCGGGACGTCGAGGAATGGCTGGTTCTCGCAGATTGGCCCTTAACGTGATTCGCTCCATACGGGGGCTTGCATCGGACGTAGCTGGCATCCTCATTTTCGTCCAATAAAAGAAAAACCATGAAGTCAACCCCTGTCTTTCAGCCGAACCCCTCTCTTTTTGTTGACTTCTTCTCTCTGTATCTACTGGCCCCCTGTCTCTCGGCTGACCCCTCTCTATTTCTGCTGCCCCCCTCTCTTTTCGCTCATTCTCTTCATCTACTGGCCCTCGCCTCCTGACCTACCCACTGTCTCTGGACCTTTGCCGGAGGCTCATTTACTGGCTGTATACACTCCGAATCCTGATTGTGCACCAGAGTATGAGCTTTGTGGAATATCAAGACACTGCATTTTGAAGATGGAGCCTCTAACAGTCAGTATCTCTTATCATTCTACAACCTTGGTATCCTAACATAATATATATAGACTATGCGTATTCAAGCCTCCTTTGACTGCAATATTTGCACTCAAGGCTCCATCAAATGCAACCCCCTCAGGCATATCCAATCGGAGATTCAATCAGAGCCCGGTCTTCAGAATGCCGTCCTCATGGCCATTCCTCTGGGCAAAAACCAGTTCGACCTGGCGGTTGAATTCGCCACTGTTATTCAGGTCGGAGAGTACTTCACCGATCTGAGCCGTTGGCGTCTGATGAGCTGTGATCCTCTTTTCACCGCCGAACTCGGTCGTTCCTACCAGGAAACCGCATTCTCGGCGTTGACGCAAATGAGATACCAATACAACATGGCCACGAGTCTAATTCAGGTATCAGGTGATCCGCGCCTCATCAGCTGGTTCAAAGCCGAAATACTTCGCATTGAAGGTCTCCTAGATCAGTACCGGTAGCAGTGCCGGAGTAATATATTCAGGAAAAGCAGTTAATTATGAAATCGCCCCGAACTCTTGAGTTATTGATACTAAGCTAGTCTGTACGTATGAATCTCTAACCAGTAATGTGGGATATCATGTACTAAACAGTCCCATACGCGCAAGCCTTTTCAATGTTTCTGTGCCCAAACCTGTTGCAGAAAAAAGTTCAATCTTCTGGAAAGTGAATCTGTAGTTATTGCCGAAAGATCTGGGAAACGGCCACCCAAAAGGACCCTGCGAGGGATTCATTGTTGTACTACCACCACAGTAGCTCCTTGGTGAAACAACAAAGTGTCGTCGAATTATACTGTTGCTTAGGCAATATTTCGGAAAAGGATCTTCGCCATTTGGTACTCTTGTGGCGCGTTGGCAGAATGCTTCCAGTGAAACCAGAAAGCGTAAGACCTCATTAAGGATTTCTCCTTCTGCTGCGCTCAGAGGAGACCACGCTAGAACTGAATTGCTTTTCGCAATTCCTGCGACGACCTGCACAATTTTCACTTCAGCAGAAAATGTGCTTGTATCAAAGACAAATGAGGCCCCTTCGTAGAACGCAGGGTTGACCTATTCCGTTGCGAGATACTGACGAAGGAGTAGAGACATTAACTCCCAGCACTTAGAAGAACCTCGAAGCCGAGTACTCTATATATAATTCACCCACGGAGAAGCAGCCTTGCCACTCCTAGAAAACAGGAGGGCTAGTATTATGCACGCGATTGGTTGATGTTATGTGTCAGGCATAATGTATTCCAGACTTTTTTCGCGTCGTGCCCTTCGACTCTTTCGTGGGTAAGACGGAAGTCAATGCAATAAATATAGAGTCGGTCGGAAAGAAAATTGCTTCAGTCGAGCGTAAAAGCGTGAACCCCATCTCCAAGGAGTTAGTGGTGACGTATTGTTTCTCTTCTCGCGTCACCGACAGCGAGTCATCGGAAAGTTTGAACGGGTTGATGCGCTGAAATTTCACGTATTTTTGGAATTCGTGAATCATAAAGTCCCACGCGGATTGTGCCGTTATCATCCACGCATTGCACGTGGAAGAAGAAATGAGATTGGTGGACCGTTGGTATTGCCCGACTCAGTACAACATAGCTGGCTATGAGAACGGGAATCCAGTCGTAGGCTAGACCGAATTGAACTAGCCGGGTTCTCGTTCACGTCTGGATTGCTCCCCTTAGGAGTATACTTGCAGGGTTTGCTATATTGCGATACATTATTAGTTTCCGACACTCTAGAACGGGGTATGTACTAGTACATCATAGGAAAGTCTTGCCAGGTGTGGGGTCCACGTAGCCCTGGAGAAACGCGCCATGCCCAATCCAGAGCTGGAGGAGAGTAGCGGCGATCTTTCCGTACTCCCGATGATTAGCGTCATATCATTCGAATAGAAGACTGTATTTCAACATCATTTCAATCGATGTCGATTTCTTTTGGGAGGAATCAAAGGGGGTCCCAATATCAGATGATTTTGGGGTTTCTGGTGTTTACGCGAATTAAAGCCTGAGGTCTCAGCGCGCCTGCCAGAATATGAGATATCATATGTCATGTGATTTGTCACGTGGCCGAGTAAATCTGCCCTAACCGTTTGCCCTAGGCCCTAGTCACATGACAGCACTAGCGTGACCCACAGAAACTTCATAAGGTGCATCCACACGAACTTTTCCCTTTTTCATCCGTCAACCGTCAATCAGCGCAATCCCAGTCGACAAAATGGTGGTGAGTACCCAAACTGTCTCTTGATAACATCAGAGGCTTCTTCTAGTTCTCTCCTGCGATGTCTCACGATATTCGCTTTGCTTCAGATCTCTGATCTAAGCAATTCCGCCGATCGCGCACAGCCTCGAAAGAGATGTGTCGCGCATCGTGTGATGATATGGCTGGAAGCATGGAGTCAATGCTCGTAACACGGCTTGGCTCATGCTCTCCTTAGAGTTCAAAGAAGATGCAGCACTATGTGAACAGCACGCTGATCTTCTTCCTCAATGATAGCCTCCTACTAAGTCCGGAAAGAAGACCGCCGCTCTGCCCTACCCCCAGGGCAAGGCTGGCGCTGGCAAGAAGGCTGCCAAGGTTAGTTTCTCTTCTTCCCAGTAGGAGTGCATTGGAAGATGCTAACCTTCCCTCCACAGAACCCCCTTATCGAGAAGCGCACTCGCAACTTCGGTATCGGCCAGGACATCCAGCCCCGTCGCGACCTCTCCCGCTTCGTCAAGTGGCCCGAGTATGTCCGTCTTCAGCGCCAGAAGAAGATCCTGAACATGCGCCTGAAGGTTCCTCCTTCCATCGCTCAGTTCCAGGCCACTCTCGACCGCAACACCGCTGCCCAGACCTTCAAGCTCCTCTCCAAGTACCGTCCTGAGACCAAGGCCGAGAAGAAGGAGCGTCTCGTCCAGGAGGCCACCGCCGTCGCCGACGGTAAGAAGAAGGAGGATGTCTCCAAGAAGCCCTACCACGTCAAGTACGGTCTCAACCACGTCGTCGGACTCGTTGAGAACAAGAAGGCTTCCCTCGTTCTCATCGCCCACGATGTTGACCCCATTGAGTTGGTTGTCTTCCTGCCCGCTCTCTGCCGCAAGATGGGTGTCCCCTACGCCATTGTCAAGGGCAAGGCCCGTCTCGGCACAGTCGTCCACAAGAAGACCTCCGCCGTTCTCGCCCTGACCGAGACCCGCGCTGAGGACAAGGCCGAGTTCGCCAAGCTCCTCTCCGCCATCAAGGAGGGTTACACCGACAAGAACGAGGACTCCCGCCGCCACTGGGGTGGTGGTATCATGGGCGCCAAGGCCAACGCCCGCATCGAGAAGAAGCGTAAGGCTCTCGATGCCGCCATCAAGGTTTAAGCTTGTGTAACTACAGCTTTTCTTTGATGTCTGTTTGACGGGATCGTTTCTAATCGAAGCGCTCAAAAATAATAAGTTGTTATGGGAAACGACAAGGTGTTCCAAGGCTTTGACGATCTATTGACGGCCAACTCTTTTAGCTTTAGATGGGTGCGAAAGAGCCTTTTGGCACTTTTTGGATCCTGTTCTAACAAAAAAAGACACATTTTCTCTCACGAACTCCCATGTACCACCTTTCTGCAGATACCCATGAATGCATTTTTCTAC